CCTTTCTTCCCCCCCCCCCCCCTGTTTCCTTCCGCTTGAGGATTTTGGCCTAAGTCTGGTTCTATTTTTCTATTTTAACCGCACTAATCTGGTTAAAATAGAAATCCCTGTTGAATTGATACTACAATTACACTGTACCATGCTTGTTTTTTCAAATCATCTTGTATCACTCAAGAATTGTTGTTATAATTCCAGGCAGTTCTTGAAAAACAGAGTTATATGCTTATTGGGAGACACGATATTGAGAAATTACTGCGAATTGATCCAGCTAGTGCTTGTTTATCAAATGTTGGTAGCCAGTCAAACCTGGAAAATAATTCTTCTGATGCTGAAACTTTCGAGATCGAATTAGAGCTCTGCAATTTATTATTGAACTTACCCTCAATTAAGCAGGTTTGGATATAATATGCTCGTTATCACAACTAAGTACATTTGGGTTCAGCCTTTGAAATTTGAAGTTGATATAGCCTGCTACTTTCCCTTCTAGAGACAACATAAAATTAGCATGAAACTTACATCTTTGATTTACTATTCTCATTTAGGAGTATCTAATACGTGATGATCACAAACTAATTTTGCTAGCGTCACTTAGCGACTCATTGGAATTTGTTGCTGACTCTATCGACGAGTAAGTTCCTTCATTTGATTTGATTTTCTTTTTTCTTGTTTCGGTTTTTCTTTTCTTGGTAGACTTAAATTGAGTGTCAGATTTCACAGACCTGAGTGACTTGTATACTTTATCGTCTATGCTTGTTTTGTTGCAATCTCTGAGGTTAACATAATCATTGGTACTTACGCATCAGGGGTTTTTAGGAGAACCTTCGATTACACATTTCAATTTCAATTTTTTGCTTGGTATAATTTATTTCTTGAGTGATACCTTTAAGAAAGTAGAAATACAGAACATTAAAGTTCTGGTATTGATTTGGGATAATGAGCGAAAGAATGTAAAGCATTGGATTCTTAGGGATGAAATTTGTAAGATTTAAGTTCTAAAAAAATCTTCGTCAATGGTGCTGAAGTTCCAACACCCACTTTGCAATGCTGTTCGAAGACGTCTAAGATTTCTAGCTAGCAAGTGCCCTATTAATAAATGAATAGAATAAATTATTTTAATACAAAAGGCTAACCTACTTAAAACCTCCCCTTCGCAAGAAACAACCCATCCTCAGAGTTATAATATTCTTAGAGATCTGCAACATCTGCGACAATGAATGTAGGATTTTTGATTTTAAAGTTATCTAGAAGCCGTGTAACATTTGCCCAATTTTGTTTAATATCTTTTACGGTCCAACACCTTTATTTTTAACTTATTTTATGTTCCAGTGACTTATTTAAGTGAATCATGGCCAAGTCTCCTTCAGCAAAGACCCTCTGGAGAGAGTGAGATAACCCTGGGGGAGAGTCAAGTACCTCAAGTGAATTTGATCAAGCGTGTCTTGACGGAGGTCTTCGATGGGGATGTTGGGGTGAAATCAGAGGGAGGCTTAAATAATAGACAGGGGCCATAAATGGCCTTGTTATCCGGAGGTTCTTTTTATGAGAATCCTAAGTTGGATACCTTAGGGCCTGCCACAGAGGGAACGACCTTCTTTGAACATTATCTCTTTGTATGAGTTATAGAAAGATTGGGAAAGAGTTTTCCAATTGGCTTTGCTTATGTGGTGATGGGATGTTTTACTCGGTGTACTTTCATGCCACAAGGGTTGTGAGAACCTTGTGAGGGACTAGTTATGAACCGTGTCCTAAAGGAAGAGGTGAGGAGAGTTGAGATGAGTGGTTATTCCTCACTATTCTACATTACAAACCATATAGGTGCGTAAGGCTGTCTAAGAGGGTCTCACCAATAAGTTTTGCTAGGCCATTGTGCTCGGCTAAGTAGGCTTGTGACACAATGTATGCTTGAGTGTTATCTCTCTTGAAAAGTGTTAATTGTCTATTACTTATTGTTCAAGATTACAGATAAACATGTTAAAGAGTTTGGAGTTTTGAGGCTTTCGTTACTTTTTGTATGGGATTATACAATTCTTTAATTTCTATTTTAACCAGATTAGTGTGTTTCATATAAAAAATGGTAATTTGATGGAAGTTTCCTACTTGAAATGTGGCTCCACATTTTTAGGTTGAAATATTTTTTGTGGTTTTTTTAAATAGAATTTCATAACCATATGCAGTATCTGAAATGGACATTTTTTGTCTGCATACAGGTTAGAACAAACAACTTTAAAACCTTCGTATCAGGCAGAAGCTAATAGCAGGCCTCATCATACCCGAACAGACAGTGCATTTACTCGGGATCTGGCATCATTTGCGGAGGAGCATAGAAAATTATCTATTGACTGTCTCAAGGTCTTGCGTATTGAGATGCAACTTGAGACGCTGTTCCATTTACAGGTTGGAAATTTGTGAATTGCCGATGATTGTGGAGCTTTCTTGATAGGTATGCAAACAAATTTCTAATAGTAGTATTGAAACAGGAAATGACGACTAGGGAATATATGGAGAACCAAGATGCAGAAGAGCCAGATGGCTTCATTATCTCCCTCACTGCGCAGGTAAGTTCACTTGATTATGGCCTAAGTAATAATCATATTGATTTCCTAGTGCAAGATGATTCTTTATAGGATAGGATAAGTAAATGTCAGTTCAAATTGAACTGATTATGTAATTTCATTAGAAAAATTACTGAAGCTCTTTGGTCAATACTGATTAAACGCTTGGCTCGTTTAACAGAATATCTTTTCTTCTTGATGCTCTCGCCCTTCGGCGTAGCTGTATATGATGACAATAATGACCACTTTCTGTAATTGACAGTAGCAGATTCTAGAACCTTCTTAATTCAACGGGGATAATTTCAAAAAATGAACTTTTGAGCAAAGTGTTGGATTATATATTCACTAATACTCCCTTAACCCCAAATTCACAAATATATACTGTATTTATTGAGGGTGAGAATGCGAGGGAAAACCTGAATTCTCTTCCTGTTGTGATCATTAAAACAGATGTGATACATCATCTTTTTTTTCCCCTTCATTTTTTTTATGTTTGGAATACCTGAAGATAAGTAGGTGATGTTATTTAGATTTATGGGTATGTAATTTTATTTTTTGTAGCCATTTCGTATGATAGGAGAAATCCCCTTGGAGCTTTGCCATGTTCATTTTGCTGGAACCTTATATTGATTCCTGGATACCAAAAAGTTCACAAATCAAAGGGATTTTTTTTACAAACCAATGAGACTGCTTTATTTTTTCAGGATGCCCATGCTGCCAGAATTAACTTTTAGAATTTTAGCCTTAGAATGTCAAACAAATCTCTGCTGTTGAATATATGAAGAGAAAATCCATAATATATTTTGGCACATTTGTTCCTTGCTATCTAGTTTTATTTTTTGTGTTAAAAAATTTATACCATGTTCTGAAAGTATCTTCACTAGGGGGATCTACTCATGTAAAAAAAATCTCACATATTTTCTTTACCTATAGATAACTCGTAGAGACGAGGAAATGGCACCTTTTATTTCAGGACTGAAGCGAAATTACATATTTGGTGGAATCAGTAGTATGGCAGCAAATTCATTTATTAAGGTTCATATTTTCATTGTGTTTTCATACCTTCAGATTCTTTTGGAGTTCTCATTAAGCTAACTTCATTGATCTTAGCTTTTATTTGAATTTCCTCGGTCCATCTCACTGATAAGAATGTATGTTTAGGCGGTTGCTGACATGAAATCTATCAATCTTTTTGGCGTTCAGCAGATAAGTCGGAATTCAATTGCACTAGAACAGGTACATCAAATACATTGCCTCTATTCTGGAATGAGTGAAATAGCCCGAAATTTTTTATGTTTGGAGTGCAATGACACTCTAATTCATGTTTGGCAATGGTTTGACACACTTAGGAAAAGATGGGACATCTAATCTCAATCAACACGACATTGCATTAATCACAGCTAAATAAGCTGAAAAATTGCAATGTCTTTTAACTATATAGCGTCTCTAATTGATAAGTTTCGTTTCTACTCGAAAATTTCCCAGTTAACTTTTCTTTAAAATGAACCAAAGTATGAGGATTTTGTGCAACCTTTGGTTATAAATGGCGAGTTAGGCACTTGCATTGGTGCCTTCAATTGAAAAACGATCTCTATTTGGGTTATAATCGGCTCATCTCGAAGCCATGGGTAGAACTTATGTGACAGGCTTACAATTACACATCTTGTTTTATAATTTACAGGCATTAGGAGCAATTCCTTCAGTTAATAGTGACCTAGTACAACAGCGATTAAATCGCGTGCGTACTTATTATGAACTATTGAACATGCCATTTGAGGTAAATTGTTAAAGTTAGCTATAAAAATCTATTGTTTTAGCTTTTAATAATGTTCTTTAGGCCATGACAAACACTTTTTCCTGCAGGCGTTGCTTGCCTTTATCATGGAGCATGAGCACTTGTTTACACTATCAGAGTGTGTTAACAGTCCACATTCTTCTTTATTAGGCTGTTCTTCTGAAACTGTTAATCCTAATCAATATCAATGTATGTTCTTTTTGACAGGTATATCAATCTTCTCAAGGTCCATGTTCCAGGAAGGGAGATTCCGCCCGATGCACAAGATCGCATATACGAGATCTTATCCCGTTAATCTTTCAGCCAATTGTGTGTCCAACGCTTAACTTCGTAAATGCTTTTGATGGCCTTTGCCCATATCATACGTTCAAAATGTCAAGCATATTGGAGGTTGAAGTGAATGCAACCTTGATGATTCTTCCCCCTTCAATGGAGGTTGCTATCCCATGATTTCATGATATGCAGTAAATTTCATCACTTCATTTGTGGTGGTGTTCTCATTTCTTATGTAGAATCAATTTTGATCCATTTTACCATTTTTTCAATGCACTTCGGTAGCTTCAATTCAGGTTGGTGAGAATTATTATATTTTTTTATGTACATGTGATTTTGAAACATCTTATATAAAATTATATTAATTTTTTTTCTTCTTATTCTGATGCAAGAAAACTAGTCTTTCTTTTGGATTCTGTTCTTGAGCAGCTCCAGTTGATAACCTTTCCAATGGAAAAGCTTTAAATTTTAGTATTAAATTTAACACAAATCATGACTGAAAGCATAGGCAAAATGGATGGCAGAGAATTTCTTTTGTGAATTATCTTCAAACTTCTACTCCGATTTAATTTTTGAAAGTTGATTCAATTATTCAACACTAAAAAATGTTTGAAAATATTAATTTACAATACCCAAGTAGATATATTTTAAACCAATTTTTTAACATCAAGTTCAGCTTCTAAACTGTTTCATTAAAGTTCAAAACTATGGTACTTGAACGTAACAGTTACATTTAAGTGCTTATGATAAGTTTAAGGTGTAATTGGATGAAATTGAAAGTTTAGGATAAAACAACGATATACACCTTTTAAAGGGACTAAAGATTATTAAATTGTTCTATCGTACTTCATCCTTGCAGAAATATGTGATGCCCTGCTAAAACTCGGGATCATTGCTCGAGGTACAAGCAAGAATTTATGATGTTTCGAAACAGATTGCAAGTTCTCAAAGCTGTACATCTTGCTACCATGCATTACCTAAGCTTGAAATGTGGAGTTTAGCCTCAGCATCTTCCTCGCCAAGTTGCGGATATCCTCTCTAAAAGATTCTCGTGATATTCGCTCCAACAACTCTTTCACCCCTCCACAGGCTACAAAATCAGCTGCATTGTCCACTGTACGCACAGTTCGTTAGTTATGGAAAGATTGTAAAAACTCCATTATAAGAACATATACTACACTTGATCTTGGCCAAAAGGCTGAGAAAGGTATTTGTAAGAACTACATCGTTGCATAAGAGTTTAAAGTTCATAGTGGATTTCAGTAAGTTAAGCACAGATCAAGTGTTTGAATTCAATCAATTTTCAAAACAAGTGCCGTAATAAAGTTAAGATCCAATAGAAAGAACGACATGCATGAAAGATCTGTTGTTAAACTAAAGTGTGCTCATCAAAAGTTGATGAGAGTACAAGGTCAGCATGATATTTATGGAAAGTAATTCTAAGACGAACTCTATGGACTTGCTTCCTGTTTGATAGCTGCAACACTATTTTGTAGGGATATATCAAACTAGGATGGATCAGTAGTAGATCCCTTTGGCCATAGTGTTAAACGGCCAGACTGACCAATAGCATAACTTCAGTGATTATGAATCTAAAAATGCGAGTTTTTAACTACCATCAAGCCTTAACAATGCTTACCATTTTGGGCTAGATGACACAGGGCAAGCTCAATATGGCGTCGAGCTGATGCAGAATTAGTATGAGAATTGTTGAGTAACCATGGAAGAGCACCATCCTCCATTAGCAGAGAACGGCCTTTCTTGCGTCCTGCAGGAAGGGAAAGTTGTTACATTTGTGAAGGCAGATGTAGTTTCTGTACGATACAAATAACGTCGGCAAAAACATATAGTAAACCTTGAACAATTGCCCTCGATTCACACTTCGCAAAATTTGCCATTCCCCTTGCAACTTGTGCAATAACATCACTATTTCCGGATGTAGCCATTTCCAGAAGAGCCCTAATACCTCCATCATCCTTTAGCATCTTGTGCAACTTTTCTGTTCAGAGAAAATTTAAGATAAAAACTTCACGGAAGAAAAGTGGACTATAGTATATCATCATGACAGCCCATGCATAGGCCATTTTTTTTTAGTTATATGATGATATATCTGTCGAAATAAAACAAGATAATTAAATTCAGACTTCAAAACATTTCCAAATATGACTTTCCATTCTAAAAGTTGGACAGCGTGGAGCATTGTCACCTCAAACTTACCATTTCCACATAAATTAGCAAGGGCACCAGCAACCATGCGAAGAGTTTGGGGATCATCTGTTCTGGATGCTGTTCTTGCCAGCAACTGGGCGCCCCCTTTGCTCATTATTACGCCTTGATTCCTCTCTGAGTAAAGTCCCCAACGCCAAAAGTTGAAAAGTGTTAGATACATACATGAATGACTTGGTTTAAATAATACAATAGCAAATGGCTACATTGATGTATGAAGATAAATAGGAATGTCATTAAGTCGGCGATAAATTTGTTTACTTGAAAGAAAAGAACAAAGGACTGAACACTTCTATAAGTCTTCTGTCAGGTCACAAAGGGGATTAAAAGGAAGCCAACGGGATTACAAAAAATCCTTCCAGTTGACATTAATCAAAAGAAGATAGTAATATTAAAAAATAATGGAAGCTATAAAATCAACGGAATATGCAGCAAATGAATTGGAATGAACGGTATATAAATTTGCAATATCCTGGAAAGGACATCGCCTGCTGTGTGATAAATGGATGTAAAGAATTTGTGACGTATAAATCAGATAAGCATCCTGCGCATCTCACATAATTCAAAGCCTATGTAGCAGATAAACTTTTCTATTCGCAAAACTCAAACGTCATTAAACTTTGGCCAAGCCAGAAACAGCATTACACTGAACAAGACATCGGATTACCATTCATTGCTAAATTGGCGATAGCTCCAGACGCCACTCTGAAAATTGTCAGATTTTTTGATGACTGCAGTAGCATAAGCAAAGCATCCAAACCACCTTCATCTACGATTTTTTCCTGATTCGATTCTGAAATTCATGAAGATTTATCAGGTTATAATCCATAGATCCTCAACTTTCAGTGCATTAGCAAAGAGAGCGAAAAGACCACCCATTGAGGGATAAAAACATTCCCTAGAAAAGAAATTTTGACAACCATATGGACAGAATCAATAATACAGAAATTACGGGGAGATGTACACCTTCAGCAGCAAGATTGGCGACCACCTTCACAGCATGGACTTGGACATCAGTGTCTTCGGAAGTCAACAATTGTAAAATCTTTTGAAGACCAACTGGATATTGAAAGCCAATGATCATTCATTAGGACGGTTTACAAATTCAATTCAGACTAAAAGAAAAAGATCTCTGAATCTTGTACAAGTTCATAGCATTTTTTTTTTTTTAATCCAAATTCAAGCCTCTACTAACAATCATCTTACCTTCTTCACATATTTTTGCAATTGTTTCACGTTGACTAGAATTAGTCTCTTTCAATTGACCCGTCTCGTGAAAACCCATGGGAGTTCCCAAGCTGGAGGGTTGTCTATGTATATTATCCCTCATATACGATTTCTGATCCTGCGATCATTGAATCAGAACAGAGGAACACAAAAGGCTAGAACGATTGAGATAAAGGGGAAGTGTATGACAAAATTTACCTCAAAATCATTCCCACTCACGGGTACAGTCCGTTGTATTTGAACCAATTCATTTTCAATAGTCTTTCTCTGCTTCTCTTCAAATAGAAGTTTTTGCCTCGTGATATAAAGTTCTTCCTTCAGTTTCTCCTACAAGAACGTGGATTTTTAAACTCATCGTCCATTAGCAATAATTTGCTACAAATTATCTTTTTTCTTTTACAAGAAATGAGACTCTTCATTGAAGAAATGAAAAGAGACCAATTTGCAACAAACAAAATGATAGTATACCTTCTCTTCTGCTAGATGTTTATGCTCCGATTTCAAGGATTGAAATTCAGTGAGAGTATTTTCATGCGATTGACATGGTTTTAACTTTTCCTTCAGTTCTTCGATCTCTTTCTGCTCATAAATCCAACAAAATAAGTGAGTAGGATAATAATAAAGGCAAGAAGAATTTGATATCAATTATATCATTTCGCCTAGGCTCTGACTAGTAACAATTGAAAATAAAATAAAACCTAATATATTTAGGCTCATCCAAAACCAAGTAATGCAGAATGGTAAAAGAGGCCGCAACCGAATTGGTCTTTGGCACTACTTTCTCCCAATGAAGGTTTCCAACTATCATTACACGCCGTAAGATGATGAGCAGGTCACTTTAAATTGGATTGATGACATGCAAATGAAGCAGGATGTTCGTTCTTGTGCTAGTTACAGATTAAAAATCATGTTTTATATGAGATGTCAATTCATCAGAGGGAGAAAGAGGTGGAGTTGAAATTCTTTTTAAACTTGTACTGATGCTAACTAAAGGTCAAATAATATAGTTTGCTAACTTTCAAATATATCTTACACAAAAGTTAACCTGTATAGAATTTTGATTATCACTAGGGCAACTCTTTGCCAAGCGTAGCTGTTCTTCTATAGCTTCAAAATGGGCATTCTTATCCTCTAATTGTTTTGTCAACTCTGCCATTTTCTTCTCATATCTCTGAGTGGTTTCCGCAAGCGCCATCTTATACGCTGAATTATCTGTTTCATGTTGCTATTCACAGATAAGAAGAATAAGAAATCTACTGGGCACTAGTACCAATGAATTAAAAATGGCAAAAACCAACCTTTTAAATCAACCCTTTAAAAGTTCAATCACTGAAACCAACTACAGTCTCAATAAAGGGAGAAAGGAGAGAGGAGTAAAGAAGACCACAATCAAGAATAAATGTAGTAAAGCAACTGCAAGCAGTCAAATAACTCCATGTACATGACAACTCTTTTTTAAATAAAAAAAGACATCATAACTAGTTGAGGCAACATATTTTCCATTCTCAATTGAAAAATAGGATTTCAAAAACATTTCTAAATACTCGAAGAAAACCAAAAAGAAATAAGTCTCGAACAAATTGATCAAAACACAATCACAAAAATGCCTAAACTTGCAACCAAAAAACCTTGCGACCAAAAGCTACAACATAAAAAACTAGCTGTAGTATTTGGCACCCATTCCGAATTCAGGATAATATGACATTATTCAATATCCTAGATGGTGAAATAGCAACGATGATGATATAGCTAAAGACAGTAAAGAAAAGGAAAGTCTGCCACCACAAACTAGCCGATAAATTTTCTTACCTGAATCAACTTTTTGTGATCACATAAGATCTTCTTCATAACTTCGAACTCTTCCTTGGCACTTACAAAGCGAGCATGCTCAACTTCCAGCTGTTTCTTCAAGTCTGCTATATTCTTTTCATACATTTGAGTGGTATCAGCCAAAACTTTCTGATACGTGTAGTTTTCAAGCTGATGTTGCTGCCAGGACATAAAAAAGAGACCATTATTCTCATGTCCTCTTTGGTGAAAAGAAAATAACGTCTCCTAAAAGCCATCATTTCCAGTATTAAGGGTTTGAGACAATAGTTGGATATTGAGCTAGTTATTATATAAATTAATATTGAGAACTATATGTAGGATTCTTTATTTTATGTAATTCTCTTCTCTGTTTTATTTCATCTCTTCTTTTTCTTTTTTCTTTGTTCTTTCTTTTTTTCTTTTTTCTTTTTTTTCTCTTTTTTCTTTGGAGGAAAAGTTGGCCAGTTCAAAAATTGTGACCAAAGGGATTATGAGAAACTTGGATCAAAGTCACAACCGTAAGACTATTATAAGCAATCATGTTTCAAGTAAGCCCAGAGACCATCCTTGTCGCTAAGCTAACAGAATATGTTCAATAATACAATGTAGCATTACAAGTCATTATACATAAATAAAATGGTTTCAGAACGAACATGTTCGAAAAGAAGTTGTATATTCTTTATTGGGATTGATAATACCTTACTGTGTTCTAAACTCATTTCCAGATGACTAACTTTATCATGCATCAAGTCATTGTGATCTCTTTGACGGTTCAATTCGATTAATAAATCTGCCATCTCCTTTTCCATTTGAGTATTCTCCTTTTCTAGAAACTGAAATAAACATCATCAGAACAACATTCTCAACGGACGAACTAGTGAAGTCCCTTGAAATATCAAAGTATTCTAAAGTGATATTGTAGATGAAATACTAGTAGAAAAAAGTTGCTTAGGAAAAGTATTCAAGAGCAGAGATGGCTACCTCACACCTTGTAATTAAACTATTTTTCACTTCAGCAAAGGAGGCTTGACAAAGTCTCAGCTCTTTCTCCAGTTTATATTTCTCATTTTCTCTCAATTTTTGCTGCCTATCAACTTCTGCAGTGAGATTGTCTGCTTGATTTTCAAGCTTTCGGCATAAACTTTCATAGTCAAATTCTTCTTTAAGTTTTATCATGTTCACAATCTTCATTGCCTGATAAAAGAACAAAATAGCAGCCTGTTGATGTCCTAACATACAAACGAAGCAAAATATTCTGATTCATGATTAGGATGAGGTAAAACACTAGAATCATTTAGAAATGAACGCCTAGGTAAGACATGCCAACTGAAATTCCCTAAAAATTGAAGATTCTAAGAACCCAATTGTACAAAGACGCTTCAGGTGGCTGCTTTTGATGTTCTTTTCTAGAATCAATTCCTACTCACTTTCTAACTTCATTAATGAAATTGTCATCTGCTTTTACAAAAAAAAGTTGATGTCATATGAAATCAATTAAAATGACACTCCAGCATTATTTATTGCAGGAGAGATTATAACAACAGAATCTTGCTTCAATATTAAGTAACGGCCGTTTTTTCACCTCGTTTATTATACACCATATCGAATTGTTGACAGAATATAATTGTTCACAGTTTTCATTATATACTACACATTCAGAATTTGGCACCACAAATTCTTTGTTAAATTACAAATCTAGTCCTGAACTTTCTGGCTTATATCTACTTTCAACTTTATGTCTAATAAATCTCTAAACTTTAAAAATGTATAATAAATCTATCCTGTAAATTTTTTTGTCCAAAAGTTCTCTAACATAATTGAAATTTTAAAAATCACAAAATTGAAAATTTGGAGATTGATTGGACACAAAATTGAAAGTGTAAGGGTCTATTAGATACTTTTTAAAGTTCAAAGGCCTATTGGGCATAAAATTAAAAGTTCATAGACTTATGAAACCTTTTTTAAAGTTCAAGTATCAAATAGACAAAGGCCTAAATTTTAGAAATTAAAATTATAATTTAATCTTAATTTTATCATGTAGAAAAAGAAAAATAAAGAAATGCAGCTTATGTCGTCCAAATCAATAGAGAGAGGGAACAAGCACCGTAGTATTACTTCTTATGAAAGGTTTTGAAAACGCGGATGATTATAGCATGGGGATGAAATAGAAATAACATATCCAACTCACACGTTGTCCAAACATAATTGTGCTAGCAGTTTCTGCATGGTATCTTGAGGAAGGTCCAATAGTTATGATGAGAGAAGTTCTAGCAGAACCTAATATATAAAACTGTCATTAGTTCATGAGCAAATTAAGATAATGTCCGAGAACATAACATAAATAAAGAAGGTTTCAGTTTTCACAAGGCACCTGTTTATAAATAATCAGCAATTGGCAGAACATAGAGTCAACCTAATAATTCTTCCTTAAAAACATAAAATATAAAATAGTCAAGGAAATATACCAACATATACTGCTCAATCACCTGATCTACTTCTCAATGTAATATAGGAGTTTAAATACAGGAGATTTTAACAACGTGAAATTATTGTGGACTAATGCTTCAAAAGCTAGAGAATTTTTTAAGAAAAATTCTCTTCATGGTTGGATCGTTTGGAAATTATCAAGATTAAATATTTTCGTTGGTACTCCTTGTCTAAATCATTTTCAGGATTCTCTTTTCAAGCTATTTGTAATAATTGGGGGCATTCTTATAGCTTCATGGGTTTTATCTTATTTATTCTGCTGTTTCTTTCTGCCTTGGTCTTTTGTTAGAATCTGTTTTGGTTGTTTCTTGTTTTTCTTTGCTTTCTCTTCAAGTCAGACTACCTTACTAGGCTTTCTTTTGCTTTTCTTCTGCAATCTCTCCATTATTCTTTTTTTTTTTCTTCAGAAAAACAACGTGAAACAATAAAAGATACGATTAGAGAGCACGATGCTTAATATTGGAAGTATATATTCTTATTAGAACTGGTCATGGGAAAATCAGAGTTAGATTTCCAGAGCCAAACCTCCAAATGAATCACGAAGAAGTCTTGTAAGCTTAGAATCTCTGGTGGGTATATGAGTGTTGTTTTCCGCCAATGCATTGATACATTTTCCGAGGGACGTGAGAGAAAGATTAATAAACTTTGCCTCTTCAAGTAAATGACCTTCACTTCCTACAACATAAAGCACAAGGGGAAGTTAAAGTAGTTGTTCATGCGAATGTTTTGCCACGTGAAGGATAATTTCCTAAAATAACAAAAAAAAAATTAAAAAAAAAAAAAAGCAAGGGTTGATAGTGGCCGTAAAAAGATAACAAACCAGATTTATTTATTCTTTCTGATCCTGCTAGATCCACTACAAGCAACTTGCTTTTCCGAATCATGGGTATGCCATTACCACCCAGAAAATCAACTGTATGGTCGTGCCCTTGGGTAGTAGCCATATCTTCATTTTTTTTGCTGGCAGCCCTTCGTACATAAACCTATAAACGCGAATTAATAAATAGTATATATTATTTACAAATTTAAAACCATTGATATTCAATAACGTCCTACTGAATACCAACCATGAGGATTGCATGACTTCGTGAACTTTCTGTATTCAGTTTTGTATTGGCTGCATGGCGATTAGACTCACTAATCTCTAGTAATTGTAAAAAGTGATCTATATCTTGAATCTTGACGACAGTAGCACCAGGCGCTGATACTTCTCCAGTTTTGGGATCTTCATTAATAGGGATGTTAACCTTTTCAGGAGCCAGCAAATCTTGAACAGACTCCATATACAACTGAAAAAAGACAGCACAGTTAATTCTGATTGTCCACATACATTCGAAAACTTTAGTGATTCCCATTTATCTGGAAAAGATTCTTAGTAATCCAATGAAAAGCTATTAAGCAAGTGTCCAAAACGTATGGCAGAGATTCAGGCTTGTTCATTTAAACTACCTTTTTGGATTTTCTTCTTCTTTAATATCAATTCAAGGGCAAATAACCAAAAAAAAAGTTGAGAATAGCTTAGTTAGAATATGTTGCACCCTTAGAAAATTTGAGACCAGCTTCCAACCTAGCATAGATCTATATTTTATTGCTCAACTTTGTGGACACCATCCATCCAAAAATATCAGCTTTTTTTTTTTTTTTTTTTTTTTTTTTTTTTTTTTTTTTTTTTTTTTTT